GTCAAACAGATGAACATATTGATTGGTACTCAGCTCATCAACAGTTCAACCAATCAAATGACGACGTTCATTTTATGAATGCATGACAATTGTACGGAAAACATACTGCAGTATTTTGTAGCGACACTAATAACATGTAACTATTCATTTTTTTAATGGAATCACCGGGAGAACGTCTAGTATTACCATCATCTGTATTTTATTATAGGGTGGTGCATGGTCGCCGCGTCCTGTTCGGTATGGGACTCATAGCGACGTACACAACGTGTGTACAATGACAGTGTTTGTTCACATGGAATTCGAACACGCGCTGCGCGACGACCGCCGCCCTTTAAGACAATTTTATGATTGATTCTAGGCATGCGGTGAATGTGTTGAAGTAACTGGACCACAGGGTGACACGATTTTCATCCAAATAATTGACCTATGTGGCGGTTGTCCAGAGGGTGATATAGATCTAAGCACAGATGCATTTACTCAACTGGGTAGTCTCGAAGATGGAAGAATAGATATAGAATGGAAAGTGGTAGAATGTGTTGTTGATGGAAACATCAAATACAAATTTAAAGATGGTAGTACAAAATGGTGGTTTGCAATTCAAATTGTCGATCATCGTGTACCGATTAAGTCTATTGCCATAAAGCCAGATGGACAAGACACCTGGATCGATCTCCCTAGACAAAGCTTTAATTTCTTCTTGCAAGATGTGGATGTTATTGATGTACCTTTTTCTATTCGTGTGACTGGAACAACTGATGAAGTGTTAGAAGATCGAATCACACGTTTTCCTTCTAGTATGCATGACCTTCATGATGGGAGTGTCCAATTCACGACCACGTGTACGTCTGTACCAGCGACCCCCGAACCGCAAAAAACGTCAAAGGCCACAAGAATTATGTTAAACACAAGCTACGTCATCGTATTATATTTTACTCTTAATAATTGTATAGTATAATTTCCCTAAAAAGACAACTTCATAATTTTAACTTGGTATATGTAAATCTATATTTGATGAGCAGGATGTGTTCTCTTCCATTCCATATACCCTGAGGTACAAGTATTAAATCTGTCTGTCTTCCCCATTTATTGCATAAAAATATATACATATATATACCATATGTCTGTTGTCATGTAATTTCCCTGTACAACACATGTCTGACACTTCCAATTGTTTTTCTAAGTTCTTAAGTTTATTTGGATGTACCTTTGGAAGGTAATCACCGTGACTAAGTGCGTGACAATATACACATCAGCATTTTTTTTAATAATAATCAGTCAGCAGATAGCAATAATGTTTGCACTAGAAAGCTAATTTAGTTGTTCAATAATATGCCCTTAAAACTCGAGAACTACGTTGTCAATCAAGAATTCTAGTATTTTGATAGTAGCATTTTCGTCCTAGAAATGCTTCACATTGATCTTGTTCTTCAAGTTAACAAAATAAGTAAAATCGTAGTCTAATAATGTATACTTATAAAAACGCTTATCACTTATTTATTGCATTTAATAGTTATTGGGAACATGATCATCTCAAAAACGTTGTTTAAACTGATGAGTTCATATCAACTGACATAATCTGTAACAAAAACTAATATGTTATAAAAGATAGTACAAATCAATAACATTAACGTCGGTAATTATTTTAATAATTTATGCTTGAACGCGACAACCTGCACTGTTTAACTTATAAAATAACACATGTTCTCATGCAGTCGATGACAATTTTGTTTAGTCAGTCTGTATAGGTAACAGGATAAATTAACTAAACAATAACTAATTAATTAACTAACTAACTAATAATAACACGAAATACCAGTACCCAGAAACTGACACACCAATTGGCATGGTCCGTGAAATGCATATACATGGAATTCCTGTCATAGGTACTTATTCAAAAGATCGTAATTTTTCGGACATACATGTGGCAGCATAAACACTACAGGTTGGTTGCAATGAGTTCGTATTTATATAAAACTGCGTACGGTACGGAGGTTATATTGTAACATTTTTTTGAAACTACGATAGCTAAAGACCAAGTTTGTTGACAGTGAGCCCGATTAAAATATGTAAATAAAGACAGATTTTACAGATAGACGTGGATGTTCGTTACCAGAACTAAAATTCTGGTACCCACTTGCGCACCATGGGATCGAAGTCTCGGATTGCCAAAATACATCAGTTTGATTCGTGGAAATGCATGATAGGTAATTTCCCATATCCAATATGGCGGCGGTCTTATATACAATAGGTGCGAAGGTTAGAACTAAACAATTTGAGTAACAGACTTTCAGAGTGGTGGCCTGTACCCACTGTTGCGTAATACAAACAGATTACTGAATAGCTTATTATCTTGGCATGTTTCGCTGATGATCATAGTGATAGGGTAGAATTCAAAATAAAAAAATGTCATTGTCAATCCACGGTTATCAGTAACCGTAGTCAATTCACGCATGTTAAAAAGTGGATGTAAATTTGTAGATCTAATGAGCACGGGGTTGTAAAAAGAAGAATGTCCGAACGAAACAACACCGTGCAGGCGGACGATGTATGATAGACACATTTTGCCATGATAACTGCCATTGCAAAACAAAAACTTTTTAAGAGGTAGGTTTTCCTTTGTTTGAAGGCGTGGGTTTTTTCTTGAAAATTTGTTTCGAGGGGTGGTTTTATATAGATAATACAAGTGAACCCCTGGGTGGATTCTATACTTGGATATTGAACCATCATCAGTTGCCACAATGTCCGACGGCGAACTGATCAGAATTAGGGTGGACACCATCGACCAACGTCATCGTCTCCATGGTGCATATAAACATGACCTGAGTGTTAAACCTGACAGTGTGACTAAGAGTGGAGATATCGAACGCTATTTTAAAATGGACATAACTCCTCGAAATTTCAGTTAATTTAGAAAATGTTTCTTTACCACAAATATATACGCAATAAAATTATCCCTTCTCCATAATTTAATGATTCATAGCATCACTAATGAATCCCCCACTGTGACAGCGTCATATTCAAGTTGTATTCAGATAAGGGTCTAGAGAGGGTCGGCAAGAGGTATTTTCGTAAGCTGTAATAAATTGTTTTTATTTTCGTAATAATGTAATTTAAATATAAAAAAACGTAAATTCGCTGACACACACAAGGTGTAAAATGTAATCAGCTATTTTATTTGTCCGTAATTGTTGTACAAATGTCTTATTTTTGTAAGCGTATAAAGCATTTTCAACATTAAATGTCGTAATTCGACGCAATTTCCAATTTTGATTCTTAAACTCAAATTATCAAGTATATTATAAACATGTAAAATTATGAATTTGCTTTAAAAATTATCTGTAAAGTGTAAAAAAAAACATTTTTTTACTGTAAATGGAACTTTCCTTTTTATTTCCTGTAAAAACGCAAAATATATTTTTTATTTCCTATAACCTGTACCAGCTACCCCCTTGCCCCCCCCCCCTCCTCTAGATACCATATCATAGACTCCTCTTCTCATCCATTGTGGTTCTTTGTTGATTCATTATTGTTTAAATATATCATATTATTATAATAGCTATGTACTACGCATCAGTTTATTTCAATAGATTAAATAGAGACTTTGTTTTCATTCACAAATACCAAACTATCTGTCGCATACGACTTATTTACCACTTCCGTGTCACTGAGAATGTTCTAGAACCGTACTGTGTCTGGTGGAA